TATTTTCAAGAAAATAATTCCACGAAAATACTGTAATAATAGTTTTACAATATCTTTTGAATCAAATTTTTAAAATATTAAAATTAATTATTTTTAAAATATTTTTGCAATATTTAAATGAAAATGTTTTTGAAAAATAATTTTAAAGCAATTACTAAATATTTACATTTTCAGTTGTAAAAATACTTTAAAATATAATTTTAAAATTATTAATAAAATATTATAGAATATGCGCGCGCTCTAGGAGCTGTTTTTGGTACGTATGTTCTTTTCTGATAAGATGAGATATTTTATTCAAAAAGTAAAACATAAAGTAAAGAACAATATTAATCTGCCCGGCAAATTGTGATGCCCAATTAATCTGCCGGATCAGACATAAAGTTAAATTAATAATAATAATAATAATAATATATCCATAATACGATAATCCAATAATATGATAGTTAATATCCAGAGCACTTACGCTGAGAAGATAAGTAAGTGTACATGCCTTTGGCGGACGAAATCAAGTGCCTCTGGAAATTGGACAAATTAATAATTGCGCCAATTATTATTGGAGCAACGGGGGAGATTCCTGTGAAGTTGTTTGATAGTCTTAGGACGATCAACCTTAGAGAGAAGCTGTTTCAACAATTACAGAAAGCAGTTTTGCTAGGGAGCTGCAGGATTGTAAGGCGAGTTCTGGGTGATGGATAGTTACCACCAACCGAAAAATTAACCTGCATTTTAAACTTCAATTTTAAATTTCTACTCCAATTTTAAATTTTTAACTCCAATTTTAAAGTTTTAACCTCAATTTTAAGTGTTTTTTACTCCAATGTTAAAGTTTTAATCCCAATTTTAAATTTTTCACTCCAATTTTAAAGTTTTAATCCCAATTTTAAATTTTTACTTCAATTTTAAATTTAAGGACTCTCCTTTGCATTGAATTGCCGGGGGAGGACTAAATATCTACCGGCCCCGAGTTGTGAATTGAGATACGAGAACATAATAATAAATAACATAAATGCATCGATATAAATTCAAACTAGAAAAAGGTCCGAATAATTAAGACTGGAAAAAGACGCAATTATAAAAAACAGGAATTTGGTTTTAAAAAAAAATAAAACAAAAAAATGAGAGAGTCAAAAAAACGAGAAAGTTAAAAAAATGAAAGATAGTTAAAAATAAAAAAAATAAAAAAAATAAATAAATGAAAATGAAAATTTGAAATACATGAATATGAATATCTTGAGTGCAATTAATAAAGAATTTGAAACATAAATTACACGATGAGATAAAAAATAATAAATAATAAATTATGGTAAAATATTAAAAGAATCCGTCAATAAACAAACATATTACGGACTCAGAGGCCTGCGATAGTTAAGAGATTGAATTTCGGGGCCCTTCCGTATTAAGCCTGGCTGGTGTAGCGGTAAGTTACTGGACTACGGTTTGCAACTTCATCCCGAGGCGTGGGTTCTAATCCCGACTAGGGCGGCGCGGATTTTAAGGTTAGTCACAACTCTACGATCGATCAACTTGAAATGACACATGTGCACCATCGAAGGAACGTTAGTACCAAATACAGCACCTAGGGTGCGCGCTCTCTAGCTGCAATGATATTTTCAGAACATCGATTATTTTTAAATTGATCAACCGATCAGATATCTACTGATGTCAACTGACGTCAACTGACAATTTCTACGGACATCATCTGATCAGATACCTACTGATGTCAACTGATGTCAACTGATTTTTTCGCACCAAAACACGGTTGACGGTCAACTGATAACATCTCAACTGATCATTTTTACCAGGGAGGCCGTTACAGTCCTAGATGACCGTTACTCCCAAATGAAATTAATCGGTCGACGACGGACCGAAACTAACCTAAAGTTACAAAATTATGAGTGTGTACCTGAATTTGGGCAAAATTCAACCTAGAATACTTTGTTTCCGCAATTTTATTTAGTTCCCGCCCTACATTTGAATTTCAAACTTGTCCCGATTTCGCCGCCAATCCTCTAGCCAATAGTAGAGATGATTGAAAAGAAGCTTCATTTTTTGGTTTTAGCGCTCCATCTTCATGTCTTTGGCTCTGCCCAACCCCCAACCTATTCGGCCAGAATTTGACTTTCGGCTCCCGCCGGTAGAGTAGTGGCGCGAAATTTGAATTATTGAGGAGTAAACACCACCTGGGTCGCTGCGGGTGGCGGTTGCGCTGGGAATGATTTAACTATTTACAGTAAGACTATAACAATTTTTATTTCTTATTTATAACTTTATTAAAACTCTCCAATATCCACTTCCAAAGTCTAGTAGTCAGTATCCTAATCTTCCAAAATCTTAATATTAATAATTTTAATTGTTTGGAACCCGAGATCGTAGTTGAAAGAATCAATGCTGGCTGTGACGTAAGACTAAATGAGTCCATTCACTAGCTGCGTTGCGGAAGTCGCCGGAGAGCTCTCCGGACTTACCCGGAGACGTAAACAACCGTTGCTCTGACTCCGGAGGCATTACCCGGAGACTTGCTACGTCATGCAACGTCAGTCTCCAAACTGCTCTCCACCTCTCCAACTTCTCGACATGAAATAAAGAGACGTAGTCTATTTATTCTATGCTCTTGAGGTCGGAGAGATACGTAGACTGACGTAAGCATAGGCGTTTAGCATTCTCGCGCGTTTTTTTCTGCTCATACAATGAGTTTTAGAATTTTCAAATATTGAAAGATGAAAGTGTTTGTGGATTCCATTTTTAACTTTGGGAATATAGGAACTTAACCTAAAATTGAAGTGTAAACAAAACAGAATCCGGCGGACCGAAGAACGCGGAGAGACTGGAGAGATGACGTCAACCCTTCCGGGTAATTCTCCGAGACTCTACGCTCCCAGTCCTCCGGAGAGCTCTCCGACGACTTTAGCAACGCAGCTGATATCACATACCTCAAATGACGTAGTCATTACTAAATCCGTCTATTACTCAGTGCGTCATACAGGCGCTCTATCGATGCGATATATTGATGTCGATTGATTCAAAGTATTGAAATGATTACCTATACCTATACAACGAGCAGAAGAATACGTCGTCACCTTCCAGGCAAAGTATCACAAGCGCCATTCGACGTTCAAAAATTTCCGCCGTCATTTTATTTTTTTACAGAGAAATTGTTCAACGAAGCTGTCAGAAAATTTCACTGAATTTTCTTTGTGCTGCCGATAAAATTTAGTGAAATTTCCAAACAGATTCAACCAACAATTTCTCAGTAAAGAAATACCTAAAAGGGCGGCGGAAATTTTTAAACGTCACATGGCGCTTGTGATACTTTGCCTAGAAGGTGACGACGTGCTTTTAGTGTGGAAAAGGTTTCATTTCACTAACTGCAACTATTTAGAAAGATTTCGAGACCGAAAATAAAATCTGAAATATTGATTCTTGTACGGGCGAGTATCTCATTGTTTTGAACCAATCGATACACCTAACAATAATCGAGCACGGTTCATCGGTGCTCTGGAGAGGATGGAGTAGTGGATGGCAACTTGCTAGTGACGTCACCGTTGAACGACTTGATGACTCCGGGCGTGTGAATCATGTGTAAAAACCTGTGGAAACAAAGCAAACGGATCCTTTGAGAAAAACTGTACATGCTCAGATTATAAAAAAATACACACAATATTAGTTCGTCGTTCACGCATCACATTTCGAATTAAGTAATGGATGAATAAGTTCACAGTCGCCAGAAAACGCTCTGTCAATATTTTTATAATTAATTTATTTTAAAAGCGAGAAATACATATGTACACATATGTGCGCAGAGTTGAGAAATTTCGTGAAACATTATAAAAAGAAATTTCCTGAGGAAATTTCAAGAAGGGTCTACCCAGTTTACTTCCGCTGACGTAATGAGAGTTGACTTCACCTTGCGAACTCAATAAAAATCAAACCAATATGAAGCAAACACTCAAATAATTTTTCTTTTTTCCAAGTCGAACTATCTTGTTTTGATAAATATCTGTCTGTGACCAAAAGAATGATAGAATACTTCGGCAAACGATCCAATACACTTTGAGCCTATTCTCCAAACGTTTCAAAAATGTTGACTACGCTTAAGAATGTACATTTCCGTCAATTATGAATAAGCTCCCCTCAGTTTCAGTAATTTCCAAAAAATAAAATAGTATCTCTACGTTCCCTGATTTAATTACGTATCCCTTCACATCTTAAAATTCTCCTACTGCAGCTAGGTTTCCCCGTCCCTCCTATTATTAAGCAAGTGAAGTTTTTAAATTACCCCTCCCCCACCCTTTTTTAATGTTGGCTGGGGAGGCTAAGATATCTAACGCCCCCCCTCCCCTCATTAAATTATACTATTGTGAGCGTGACAATGATACGCCCTGAAAGTCGCCTTTACAAAGTGGATTTCCTTCCCACTCTAGCGGAGCAGCGTTGAGACCCAGTCAAGAACGTGGAAAAGTGTCATATCTTATGACATTATAGCTTAGCAAGCTATCAACTGATGCTTTATTAATAACATTTTTTCTTTTCAGCATAAACAACTTGTATGTAAATATCGTTTAGATATTTGCTTACAAGCTTGATACAATTCCCCTCAAAATTCTCTCTTTTCTTTTACGGTCCTTTTCTTTTGTGGCGGCTCCTCCGCCACTAGCGGCTACCTGCCCGCGCGCTGATTGGGCGGCGACCCACCTGCCGCCGGCTATATAATCACCAGGCGCGCACAATCAGAAATGAATCATCGCCTGACCGCAGACCAGATCACACCTGCCCTGGTTCTCTCTGCCCGCTTGAAGACCGAAGCACAAGTCGCCTGACCAGCCGTATGAATAAGAAGCCGTCTCGCCAGCACCTGAGACGCCTGCTCGCCGCACCTTTGAAAACGGCCCTTTTTAGGGCCACCAAATCACCTCGAGCACCAGGCCATCTTAGCCTATAGTGGTGACCTCGACGCGATCATTGTTTGAATGAGCTAACTTTCTCAACTTCAGTAGGCAACGATGGTCCTGCACTCTCCACCCAAGAAACAAGCAGAAGGTCAGGACACAGGCGGTCACTCCAAGCATCCTGATACAATAGCCCAACTCCAACAAGCTACAGAGCGCAACAGAATCTTGCAGGATGAGATGAAACTGACGAGAGAAGAAATCGCCCACTACCACTTGGAACTAGCGAAAATGCGAGATTCAGTGAAATCCAGCGTACCCCCCACAACAGCATTCGTTAATCAATCATCAAAGCAAATTAAATTACCAGCTTTCTTGTCAGAAAAACCCGACCTCTGGTTCAACCAGATCGAACCACTTTTCCAAATTCACGATATCGAATCAGAGGCTACAAAGTACGCCTATGTTGTTGGCCAAATCGAAGGCAAGTGGATACTAGAAATCGAAGATCTTATTCGCACAATTGCAGCTGTAAATCCTCATTCGAAACTCAAAGCTGAAATAATTGAACGTTTTTCGCTCAGCGAGAATTCTCGGGTGAGAAAACTAATGGCCGAGGTAGAACTAGGCGACTCTACCCCGTCTCAATTTTTGAGACGCTTACAATCACTTGCAGGGAATACAAGGATCCAAGATAATCTCATGAAAACTCTGTGGCTGCAGCGACCGCCTGATAGCATCCAGGGCGTCCTTCAAGCCCAACCCGATTCAGTCACGTTGACGCAACTTGCGACCATTGCAGACCGTATAGCAGAAACATTACCCGCTGCAAAATCAGTCTGCGCCACAAGTTCAAACTCTCGAAATTTTACATCTGATGCAATAAGAAATGACAAAAGCGATTCCCTCGAGGACATGAAGAAAGCAATCGCTGCTATGGCTTCCCAAATGGAGCAACTGACGAAACAAGTACAAAGCTTGCAAAAGAATAAACCTAGATATAGATCGCGCTCTCGCCAGAGATACCCCTCTAACTCTCGGCAGAGTTCGCCAAATAAAAACGGATTCTGTTTCTATCACGACAGGTTCGGTCCAAAGGCATACAAATGCGAACAACCATGCAAATTTAGAGCAACGAACGAAACGGACAGTCAGTAAATGCGGCAACTGATTGTCCCGCGCTGCTTCTAGCCGCTTATTCATACAGGACAGAAATAGTAATCACAGATTCTTAGACTCCGGGTCAGATATGTGCTGTTTTCCACGGCGACTCTTGCCTGGCAAACTTAATCCTACCAAATATGAGCTAAAAGCAGCGAATAACTCTTTTATAAACACCTACGGGCATTTGCCCCTGTGTTTAAATTTAGGTCTTCGACGAGACTTCACCTGGCGTTTCATTATAGCAGACGTTGATGTTCCCATCATAGGTGCAGATTTCTTGGCAAAGTATCACCTACTACCAGATTGCCATGACACAAAGCTAATTGACGGTGTAACAAATCTCTCAACACCTGGACACAAAGCGAACATCAGACAAACTAGCATCAAGGAAATATCTGCCCACAAATGTTCCATTTTAGCCGATTTTCCAAATCTGACCCGTCCAGCATGCACGCCAAGGCCAGACACGCCTCATTCCACAGTGCATCATATTCGCACCACGGCTGGCCCACCAGTATTCTCTCGTCCAAGACGCTTAAGACCAGAACTCAAGAAGGTAGCTAAAGCTGAATTCGAAGGCATGCTGAAAGAAGGTACGATTAGACGCTCAGAGAGCCCTTGGGCTTCACCGCTTCACTTGGTTCCAAAGAAGTCAGACGAATGGCGTCCTTGCAGCGATTATAGAGCCCTCAATGCTCGAACTATTCCAGACCGGTATCCAGGCCGCCAAATTCACGATTTCTCGCAACAACTGAAAGGCTGCAAAATTTTTTCAAAAATTGACCTCGTCAATGCGTACACGCAGATTCCCGTCCACCCAGACGACGTTCAAAAGACAGCTATCACTACGCCCTTCGGCCTATTTGAATTTTAATATATGAGTTTTGGACTTCGCAACGCCGGACAGACGTTCCAAAGATTCATGGACGAAGTCCTCCAAGGATTAGACTTCTGCTATAGCTAATTAGATGACATCCTAGTCGCCAGCAGAAACAAAAAGGAGCATGAGAAACACCTTAGAATACTGTTTAAACGCCTTGAAGCTTACGGCATTTTAATCAATATTGTTAAAAGCGAATTTTTCGAGGAAATAGTTATTTTCCTCGGTTATGAAGTTTCTGCGGACGGAATCCGACCACCACCAGACAAAGTGGCAGCACTAAGAGATATTCCAGAGCCACCCACAGCTAGCGGCCTCAAACGCTTTCTAGGTATGATAAATTTTTTCAGGATTTTCATACCAAAAGCAGCCAAGTACCAGGCAGAACTTCACGAAGCAGTGGCAGGAAAGAAAGGTAAACAACCTATAGACTGGACCCCTCAACTCAAAGAAGCTTTCCAACAATGCTAAGATCACCTAGCCGAAACAACTCTCTTGGGCCATCCAGATCCAAACGCTGAATTAGCTATCTTTACAGATACCTCTCAGACTTCAATCGGAGGGAGTATTCAACAGAAAGTTGGAAATAATTGGCAGCCGCTAGGTTTCTTCAGCAAGAAACTATCTCCTGGCCATCAATGTTGGCCCACTCCTTACAGAGAGCTATACGCAATTTACGGCACCATTCAATGCTTCAGACATTACTTAGAGGCCCAGGTCTTTACAATATACACTGACCACAAGCCACTAATCACGGCATTCGATCAGAAAAAGGAAAAGCTTCCTCCGGTCCAGCTCAACCACCTCTCTTTCATCGCTCAATTTTCGACAGACATTCAGTACGTGAAAGGCTCCGCCAATGTCGTCGCTGATACACTATCACGCATAGAGGCTATTGTCGCTCCAACAGGCAGTATAGATTACAAGCACTTAGCCGAAAACCAAGAGACAGATGACGAGCTGAAACAACTCATTCAAACAGAAAACTCACTCAATCTCAAGCCGATCCAAATTCCTGGCACAGCCGCTCAAATCTATTGCGATGCAAACGAGAGACCTTACATTCCTTACCCATTACGGCTTAAACTGTTCAACTCTCTTCACAACCTCAGCCACCCAGGCATCAAAGCATCCAGCAAGCTAGTAGCATCCCGCTACGTTTGGCCGAAGATCCAGTCAGACTGCAGAAAATAGGCTCAAAACTGCCTCCAATGCCAAGCCTCCAAAGTCTCAAGGCACGTGCATTCTCCACTTGGTACAATTACCACTCCTTCAGGCAGATTTCAACACATTCACATTGACCTTATTGGCCCTCTTCCGTTAATAGGATCATTCAAGTGCTGTCTCACCGTCATCGACAGATTCTCACGTTGGCCAGAAGTTCATCCGCTACAAGGTATAACCGCCGAAGAAGTAACTCAAGCATTACTCAACTGCTGGATCTCCCGTTTCGGCTGTCCCATCAAGTTGACTAATGACCAAGGTCGACAATTCGAATCGCAATTGTTCAAACAACTAGAGAAGATAATTGGCATTACCCACCCTCAGGACAACAGCTTATCACCCTCAAGCAAACGGCATGGTGGAACGTTTTCACCGACACTTCAAAGCTGCTATCATGTGCCATCTAACACTCACATGGGTCCAGGCAATTCCAATTGTCCTCTTAGGAATCAGAGCTGCCCTAAAAGAAGACATCCATCTTTCGGCAGCTGACATGGTTTACGGCGAGCCCCTCCGACTACCGGGAGAGTTACTGGTTTCCTCAAATGAACCAATCTGGGAACCAGTGCTATACGCAGACAAGTTGCGAAGCCAGATGGCGACACTGAGGCCAACACCAGCCTCAAAACACTCAATGCCCGGCTCATTCGTCTTCAAAGACCTTGCAAATTGCACTCATGCTTTCCTACGAGACGAAACTCGCAAATCGTTACAACCGCCGTATACTGGCCCTCATAAAATTATCCGAAGAGACGACAAAACGTTTACTCTCCTCGTCAAGAATAAAGAAACAGTAGTCTCCATCGATCGACTAAAACCGGCCTACGTGGAAAACGAAGAAAGAGGAAACCCTGTTCAAACAAAACAAACAGAGCAAACAGAACCAAACAAAACGAACAAAACAACAGAAAGTTCAAATCAAACAAACAGAGGAACAGTCGGACAAACCCGAAGTACCCTATCAGACAAAGAAAAAGAAGCCTAAGAGGTGCTGAAACCCTACACGACGAGATCAGGGAGGAGAGTTAAGTTCCGTTTCCCCAACCTGATCTCCCACCAGTAAAGTCCCGTTTGTTTTTCTTCTGTTTTTTCCTAATTTCTGCCTCATAAAAGCTCTAACCGCAAATTCTGTTTCAGCCGTGGTGATGCTATTTCAAAACTGTACACCCCCGCCACAGACTCCGTCTGGAAGCGAGGGGAATCCTGTGGCGGCTCCTCCGCCACTAGCGGCTACCTGCCCGCGCGCTGATTGGGCGGCGACCCACCTGCCGCCGGCTATATAATCAGCAGGCGCGCACAATCAGAAATGAATCATCGCCTGACCGCAGACCAGATCACACCAGCGGGGCGATTATTGAAATGATATCGACTGTATGTCGCCGCTTTGTCGTATCGCGCCATCGACTAAGAGCCACTCAGTTGATGGCGCGACACGACAAAGCGGCGACATACAGTCGATATCATTTCAATAATCGCCCCACTGCCCTGGTTCTCTCTGCCCGCTTGAAGACCGAAGCACAAGTCGCCTGACCAGCCGTGTGAAGAAGCCGTCTCGCCAGCACCTGAGACGGCTGCTCGCCACACCTTTGAAAACGGCCCTTTTTAGGGCCACCAAATCACCTCGAGCACCAGGCCGTCTTAGCCTATACTTTTTTAAGGCCCTTAATTAAATTTTTACCCTACTCTACGTTGCAATTCACGCTAGTTTGCAAGTACAAGCGGGATCGTTATTCCTGCGAAAAATAGTTTTCGGTAACCCGCCATACACTTTAGTGCACCGCCATAATGGCCACAGAATAATAGCTCTCGCACCGACTCTACATTCACGACTTATCAGCGATTGGGAATCCCACGTTTATTTTCTTGCTCTTTTCCTCTTTCCCCTACTTTCATCGTTGTCTCCACGGTCGGGCCAGTCGGTGATAGCTGTATGCCTTCGAGGCTTCCCTCTGGTTCCCCTCTGGCATTTGTTTGCGAAGTCGGTTGATAAATTCAGAAGGTTCTTCTTGGTCACTAGCAGTGCTAGGAGCTAGGAGTTCGCCGGGTAGTCGGAGAGGTTCCGCGTAGAGTAACTCGGCTGGTGAGGCTTTGATGTCCTCTTTGAAACTGGAACGAATTCCAAAGAGCACTATGGGTAGAGCTTCAACCCAAGTTGTATCAGGGTGACACATGAGCGCTGCTTTCAGGTGCCGGTGTAAGCGTTCGATCATGCCGTTGGCGATGGGATGATACGCTGTAGTTCTCGGCCTTTCTATGCCCAAGGTTTTGCCAAGAGAGCGATAGAGTTGAGACTCAAATTGGCGACCTTGGTCGGTAGTAATGCGGACGGTTGAGCCAAATCGGGAGATCCAGCAGTTGAGGAGTCCATCAGCAACTTCGTCTGCGGTGATGCCTTGGAGGGGCCAAACTTCAGGCCAGCGGGTGAAACGGTCTACTGCGGTGAGACAGTAGCGGTAACCTTTGGAGTAAGGCAGAGGGCCGATCAGGTCTATATGCACATGTTGGAAGCGGTTTGAAACAGCTGGGAAAGTTCCAAAAGGGGCTTGAACATGGCGTGAGACTTTGGCACGTTGGCAGGCTGCGCAAGATCGGGCCCAGGTGCGGCAATCTTTCCGCGCGTTAGGACAGATAAACCGGGAAGACACAAGTTGTGCTGAAGCCTTGATGCCGGGATGATTGAGTCCGTGGATCGAGTCGAAGATTTGGCGCCGGAGTCCAGAGGGTACGTAGGGACGAGGCTTGGGCGTGCTTGTATCGCAGTACAGTTGGACGTCTGAGCCAGGGATGGGAACCAGTTCCAACTTGAGTGACTGCTGGTCCTTGGAAGGCTTCAGAAGTTCTGCTAGTTCGGTGTCATCTCTTTGGTCCTGAGCGAGGGTGTGGAAGTCCACTGTGTTAGGAAGAGAGACGGCTTCAATTCGTGAAAAAGCATCAGCGACAACGTTGGCTGATCCAGGGATGCACTGGATGTCCATGGTGGATTGTGAGATGAACGAAAGTTGGTTCATCTGAACAGGCGGAAGCTTCTCCTTCTTCTGCGTGAAGGCATGGGTTAGCGGTTTGTGATCTGTGAACACGGTGAAATGCTGTGCTTCAAGTGCAGGGCGGAAATGCTGGATAGCTTCATAGACCCCAAGTAGTTCTCTGTGAAGCGTGGGCCATCCTTGCTGTTTTGGCGTGAGTTTCTTGGAGAAGAAACCGAGGGGTTGCCAGACATCATTAACTTTTTGTTGCAGGCAGCCACCTACGCTCTGTTTTAAGGCGTCAGTGAAGAGACCTATGCTGAGCGGAGCGTCTGACACAGGGTGAGCTAGGAGAGTGGCGTCTCCGAGGCTCTTCTTGCAGGCTTCAAAATCTGCTAACAAGGACGGTGTCCAGTTGATCGGCTGGTTTCCTTTGAGGCCAGAAAGAGAGGCGTGTAGGGAGGCTTGGTAAGCGGCGGCTTTGGGCAGGAAACGTACGTCGGTAGAAGTTGACCATGCCTAGAAACCTTCGTAGTCCCTTGGCGTCTTTCGGAGGCGGAAATTCCATCAGGGCAGTGACTCTGTCTGGAAGCGGGCGGATGCCTTCGGCGGAAACTTCGTAGCCGAGAAAAGAGAGAGAGGGCACGCTGAATACACTTTTCTTGGCGTTGATGACATGCCATGTTCAGCTTGGCTGCGACTGTAAATCAGGATATCGTCAAGGTACGCAAAGCAAAAGTCGAGACCTTGCAATACTTCATCGATAAATCTTTGGAATGTTTGGCCTTCGTTCCGTAAGCCGAAGCTCATGTATGGGAACTCGAATAGACCAAACGGTGTTGTGATGGCCGTCTTCGGGATGTCGTCAGCGTTGACTGGTATCTGGGTGTAGGCCTTCACTAGATCGATTTTGGAGAATACTTTGCATCCTCCCAGGTTTTGACTGAAGTTGTGGATGTGCCGGACTGGGTATTTGTCGGGGATTGTGCGTGCGTTCAGCGCGCGGTAATCTCCGCATGGACGCCAGCCGTCAGGTTTCTTGGGTACCATGTGCAAGGGAGAGGCCCAAGGGCTCTCGGAGCGTCTTGCAGTACCGTCCTTGACCATCGCTTCTGTGGCGGCTAGCCACCACTCTGCCAACCAGCGCAGCTCATTGGCTGGAGCTCGACACTGTCACGGCTACATAAGCCGCGAGCTCATCTCTCTTGCTCACTCCGCGCACAGCATCCAGCGAACATCATACAGCCGGCCGGCCTGTACTTTCCAACGGCCCTTCTTAGGGCCACCACATCTCGGGCACCTCTCATGGCTTAGTCCATACTTCAAATTCGGCTGGCGATGCGAAGTCGATCAGCCAAGAGTCTTCGTGGGCGACAGGATTCTGGAGGGCCAGGGGCCAGGGGTCGTCCGAATGTGATGGCAAGTGGAATGCTTGGGCTGTCTGGAAACACCGGATGGACGGGTGAGCTCAGGGAACTCGGCCAGGATTGCGCAGTTTTCGGAGGCGGTGACAGCCTTGACGCTTTCTTGAAAAACTTTTGCCGGTTGGCAGTGCGTTTTGAGGCCTCTGATGTTGTCCACCAGGGACTTGTTGTGACAGTCAGGAAGCAACTGGAACTGAGCAAGAAAATCGGAACCAATGATCGGCGTCGCCATGTCGGCGATGACAAATTTCCAGTCAAAATCACGGCGTAAACCGAGGTGCAGATTGAGTGGAATGTGATCATAAGTCCGGATTGTAGATTCATTTGCTGCAGTAAGTTCGTAGCAAGTGTCTTGCAAATATTGCTGGACGAACCGCCGGGGGTAGCAGGAGACGTCTGAGCCGGTGTCCACCAGAAATCGCTTCTTGCTGCGGGCGTCAGTGACAAAGAGGCGGTTGGATTCTGTGGAGCAACAAGCGGCCGCCACTACTAGTTGCCGGTGGAGTTTGTCGGCGTGGACTTAGGCTTGTAACCGCAAGGTTGACGGCATGCACAGGCTTCATCGCCAAACTTGTGATGGTAAAAGCAGACACCATTACGACGGTCGTTTTCTGAGGGAGAGCGAGAGCGTGACCGTGAGCGAGACAGGTCACGGTGTAACTTCTTTTGGGTCACATCGAGTTAGTCCAGTCGCTCTGTTAGGGCTAAGAGTATCTTCTCCAGTTTGGATGTTTGAGGCTCAGGTGGTGCGGTAGCAGCGCAAACAGACGGAGCCGGTACAAGTTCCAAATTCGGTCTGCGATTTTGGCCAGTTCATCGATTGATGTTTCTTGCAAGTGCGTCTGCAAGATAGCTTGCGCCTGGCAAGGTAAACGTTGCAGCCAGAGAGTCTTCATGAGTTGCTCATCTACTTTCGTAGTGCCAGTTAACGCTTTCAGCCTACGCAAAAATTGCGAGGGTGTACTATCGCCAAGGTCTGCTTCGGTGAGTAGTTGTCGAACGCGGTGCGTTTCGGATTTGGACAGGCGAAGGATCAGCTCGACTTTTAGCTAGGAGTATGGCGTGTCAGTGGGAGGTGATACAAGAATATCCTCCACTTCGTTAGCAACACGGGTTTCCAATTGAGATGATACGAGAGAATATCGCATCATCTCGTTTGAAATGTTCCAAACTGTAAAAATGGATTAAGAAAACCATAGCTGCGGTTTTTCTAGATTAAAAGGAGGTAGCTTGATGTTTTTCTTCAAAAATGGCTACCGATATGGTTGCCAGTTAGAGGTGCAGACCAGTAAATGACTATTGATATTAAAGGGATTTGCCAAAGGAGGGGTTCCGATAAGGGCCGTTTTTCGGCCCAAACCCTGAAATTTTTCAATTCTACGATTTTTTGCTTATCGAGAGTCTAAATTTTACGGAATGTATCATGCTTTGGTCATTTTCGGTCTATTTTGGGGTCAATGCTGGCCTAAACACGAGTCTGAAGGCTAATTTTGGCGGAAAATGCGGGTTTCTTAGCATTCGACGCGCTGCGCCCGCGCTGTTTCATAACGATCATATATCATCGGAGGAGCAAATTTTCCTGCAAGTATGTTCATTAA